ATTAGGACAAAATAATATTATACTCAAAGCTTTTATTATGGTCACAAAATAATCTGCCATTTTTTTTCAATAAAGTTCAAAAATCACTGTATGAAGCATCATAAATAATGGAGAAAACCTTGTCTCTGGTACCATTCTCAATTGCCTCAAAGAAATTTATAATCCTCCTTTCTACTATATAAGTTGTCCTTGTAAGAAAAAGTGTCAATTTTATTTTACAGATGAAAATATAAGTACAGCCCAGAGAGTCCAAGACTCTTGAGGGCCACATGCACAAGTGCTGGTTTTCCTGGTATAGGACCCTGGTCCTCTAGACACCAGGATGCTGGCTTCCATGAATGGCAAAATAATACAGAGGATGCAATATTTTCATGAAGTAGTCCAAAATGTCATTCTTAGGTGATCTATTTTCACTTTTATTTCATACTAATCTTTCCCAACAATGTGTACTATTCATTTAGAAAGCCTTCTGTGTAATATTGTGAAAATGACTAAAAGCACTTCCACTATAACACTTTATATTTTGTTTGGTAAAAATTTTTTAAGGAAGGGGGGGGGGGCCTTGAAATTTTCCATGCTTTATCTCAGCCTATGTAGGGTATCAGAAAAATAAAGAAATCCCACTCAGCTATTTTTCTGATACTATGAATGGGAATGAAAAGGACGGACAGTAGCAGACATTGAGAGTGACTTGCTGTTGATGAGAAGGAGAATAATGGTTTAGTGCTATACGTGGGTAGCTTTTCATTATCCTTCACATACTCTCACACATATTATAGACCAAGAGAAGACATTAGGGGTTTAAGGCTGTACTATATCAACAAGACACTTGAGAGTTGGTTTCAAATTCCTTTTAGAAACAGAAAAACAACTTACCAATTTTATATTCCTAACAACTCATAATGACATAGATTTATACATAGGTATATGTATATATGTATGTATATATATAAATATGTATGTATATATATAAATATGTATAAATATGTACCTACTGATAGATATATTAGATATATCAGTCAGAATAACTAAGGACAGTGAAAGTGAATTAGCTAGGAAAAGTGATATTTAAGAGAGCAATAGTTTAAAAATTATACTTCTTAAATTTCACCCAAGACTTGCACCACTTTATTTGTCCATTTATTCAACCATTAACACATATTCTTTGAGTCCTCATTATGTGTCAGGCACTGTCCTAGACACTAAAGAGACAGTAATGAATAAGTTGGTGCAGTCTTTTGCCTTTCTAAGCTTGTTCTAGCAGAGGAAACCGATTTTAAACAACCAAATTTATACTATGTCATGTGGCAATAGGTGCTGTTAAGTAAAGCAAAATAAAAGAATAGAGAATAATAGGAAGGCATTTTAATTTTAGAAAAGGTAGCCAAACAAGGCCTCTCTGGTAAGCTGACATTTTCTCATTAATTAAATGGGTGAGCCAGCCAAATGAATATTTGTAGGAAAGGTATTCCAGGCATAGGCCAATATGTGCAAAAGCCCTGAGGCAAGTGTGTTCTTGGTATATTCACAGAAAAGCTGGAACAGAGTAAATGAGGAAGATAAGGTCAATGAAAGGATCAGAGTTTGATAATGGTAAGGACTTTAGACTTTATCTCTAGTGAGATGAGAAGCCATGGGGTGGGGTTGAGGAAAGAAGTAACAAGCTATGGCATATTTTTAAAGGACATGGAAAATAAACTATTGGGGGATATTTTAGCATACAGCATAAAAGTCAAATACCAATGACTTAAACACATGAAGGCTTGTTTTTCTATCACAAAAAGTAACTTCAAAGGCAAGCAGTCCCAGTTGCCATGACACTATGGAACTCCAAAGTCATCAGGACCTGGGTTTTTTCATTCTTCTACTTCCCCACTCTGTTTTGTTTGTTTGTTTGTTGTGGGTTTTTTTGTTAATCCTCACCCAAGGATATTTTTCCATTGATTTTTTTAGAGAGAGTGGAAGAGAGGGGCAGAATCGGAGAGAGAGTAACATCAATGTGAGACCACATGAGGAATCAAGCCTGCAACTGAGATATGTACCGTTGACCTGAATTGAACCTGGGACACTTCAGTCTGCAGGCCGATGCTCTATCCACTGAGAAAAACTGGGTAGGACTACTTCCCCATTCTTAACAAGTTACCTCATCGTCAGAGATGACAGCTGAAAATGGAGCCATGACAATAACATTTCAGGAAGCATGGAAGAGGAAGAAGGACAAATAGAACATGCCTCCTATTGTGTCAGTTCTATTCTAGGAAACTTCCCAGATGTCCTGTACCACACTTCCCCTTGCATCTCATTGGCCAACTCTCAACCACAAAGGAGGCCAGGAATAGATAGTATTTGAGCAAGCTCATTGCTTTCCCAAATAAAAACTGGGGCTCTGCTACCAAGGAAGACAAAGAATCAGAAACATGGGAATCAATTAAGAGGTCATTTGAAATGATCCTGGCTCAAAATTATGTTGATTGAGACTAAGTTCGTACCAACTGAAGTACTGATGTATGCAACACATATTAAAGATTCAGGGAATGAGAAGAAGGAAGTCTAGGACACCTCCAACGGTTCTGGACTGAATCATTAGACAAGTACAATTCCAATAGGTGAGATGGGAAAGTGTATGTTGACATTTACATGATCAAAATTGGTCTCAGACACAAATGATATGCTCTTCACCATCTCTCCACCATCCAACTCTAATCTTACATCCCTGACACTCTCATTACTCTGGAATATATTCTGTGTTACTGCCTGCATCACATATTTTACAACTAGAAATTTTACCCTTTTCTATTTTCTCCTTAATTAGTTTTTCTTTAGTGATAATACACACTCCTAATATTAACTATTATTCTTCATTGTTTTCTCTATCTCATACAGATGTCATAGGCCACTTAACAAGCATTCACAAGTCATCCGTTGAATTGAATTTGATCTGTGTCCTTTCTCTGTTCTCATTCTTTTTAGAAGTTATGACCCATATCTCTATAATAAAAAACTCAGAGTTTCATTCTAGGCAACCCTGCTCCCTGCCAACAATTCCTGTATCCTATCTGTACAGAAACAGGTGTCTACTACTTACCCTCACATTCTTATCAATGGTCCCACTTCCTAAAAGAAAGAGGATACTTCAGATAACAGACCTTCCCTCTGCATAGGATGAGGTTCTGCCCTCCCAAACTGGACTCATTTATTCTAAATAATATGGGAGTGAAATATAGCCAGAACCAGGAATATTAAGGAAAATCATTCTTGGAAGGTGAGAGGTTGGGACAAGTATTTGGGTTGCTCAGATCTTGAAACTCTGAGAGTGAGAAGCCAACTTCATATTCTGCACGTCCCTGTGTTTCTTTTGCCCTCTATTCTCCCTCTGAAGCTTCGCCTCCATCTTCAGTTCTTGGCCCTATCAACACCATTCCTGGATTGAACATTTACCTGGAACTAATGGGACATCCAGAGACTCAGGCTAAATCTGAGGACTTTTAGTGGGAAAACTTCTTCCAAATGGTATAAAGCAAGAACACTTAAGTGCCTGAAGGGCATCTCATTCTCCAGCAGATTTGACTCCTTTGAAGAGAGTCCTGGTTAAAGGTCTCCAACCAGTATCTTCTCTCTGATTTGAAGCTTTAGGTCTGTAATTTTCCTTCATCATTGCTAGTCTGCAGACCATATATGGCTGTCAATAAGTCAACATTCCACATGGCCACTGGTTATACACACACACCACAAAGGCAAGAGTCTAAATTGACATACCACTTTTCCTAAAGGGTACTAATTAAGTGATTTGCCTGCAAACTTCTCTTTGCTGATACAGAAAAGTAAAACAGCTTCCAGAGTATCTATATATATATAAAAGGCTAAGCGACTAGTCGACTGGTCACTATGACATGCACTGACCACCAGGGGGCAGATGCTCAATGCAGGAGCCGTCCCCTAGTGTTCAGTGCGCTCCCACAGTCAACCTCCCACAGCCGGCCAACCTCCCGTGGTCCCTCCCCCACACTGGCTGTGGTTTCTCCCTCAGTTCCTCCCCCTCAGCCAGCAGGCCCCGATAGGCCCTGATTTCCGGCCAGGCCGTGGGACCCCACCAGTGCATGAATTCATGCACCGGACCTCTAGTAGAATGATAAAATGCCATCTGTAAGAGACAAGTATCAAAATGGTATCAGTTAATCTCTTCAAAATATTATATTTGTTCTCATGTAGCCTTGCTCTTACTTTAACAAGAAGAAATCCTTCTGGAACTGTTAAATATATTTCTAGTAAAAAATAGTGTTTCAGTGAAGAGTTTTATAGGTATCCGTTACTAATCACATTTCCCAAGCAATTTTTATTCACCAATGAACAAAGTCACTTTGATAACCATTTGTTATTATCAGCCATTGAAATGGGCAATACTTTTTATTCTCATTTAACATAAGTAAACAAAGAGGTGAAATGACTGAATTAGTCACTTGGTGATGTAGTGAAGGAATTGAAATTTGAATTCTTAGCCTCTTCCAGCTTCCCAGACCCTAGAGCGAAGTGGCTGGTTTTGCAATAAGGAAGCCTATTTATATGACTTTCCATGGGACCAGGAAGTCAAAACCACAACAGGGTAAAAGCAGGAAAACGTCGCCTTTTTGGCAGGGAATTTCAAAAGCAGCAGCATTAACCGATGTCAGAGCATTTTGCTACATTGTGGGGGCTGCCCTGGACAAGCATGACTACAAAGTGCTTGGGTAAGAAAGCATATTCTTTGAGAAAACTGGTAACTTCCTTGTATTTAAAAAATTAAAATAATCAAGCTCTGTGCTTACAAGAATCCAAAGAAAGAGCTTACATTTTGAACCCTATATGACCACTTCTTCCTTCCATAGCAAAATCTCAATTTGGTCCAAGAATAAATTGTCAACAAGTACTAGAATTTATCCAAAAAAACTACCCTTCCTCCTCCCATAAAAGTGATAGAAATATATATATACTGATGTCATCACCAATCTCCAAATTCTACAGACCTTTAACGTGCAGGAAGTTGAGAATGCTTGTGTTGGTGTCTAGCAGGAGCAGTTGGCCATTCTCCACCGTGACATTGTCGCCATCTTGTGGCGCCCGTGCAGGAAACCAGCTGTAAGCCCTTGACCACCTCCGGCAGAAATGAAAGGAAACATTGCCCTGGAAAACAGAGTTTTGTTGTTCTGTTTTGTTTTAAAGATGGATAGAATGAGTGAGCAATCAAAATATAAACTCCTTACACTAAACTTAATTTAAATGTAATTTTAAAAGTCTCACTAAACTTAGCCATCCTCTCTTCTGCATACAACTAAATCAAAAAGGGGCAAAGTTATCCTTAAAGCCCCTTTGTGCCCCGTCCCTGGAATTCTCCAATGACAGGCTTGTAATGTTTTTCTCACCTTTTTTTTTTTTTTGCTAGCATAAGCCCCCTTCTACCTAACAGATGGGGTAGATTCTATTTTTTATTTTTACAGACAACATATTGAGTCTTGAACAAAAAAGTCGCAAATAGCCTGAAATACAGAGAATTAAAATGTTCTGCATGATGGGTGGCATTTTGCTTTATGTAATTGGTATCATTTTTCACTGGCTGTACTGCAAGTGCCTTTTTTATAGGAACATTCTTCTTTCTAAGTGCTCAGATCCATCCTCCCACACTCTACCTGTTTTGGTATTACTGTGTTGTTGCCTTTCCCTCAGTGCTTGGTGCATCGGTGCTGAAAAAGCCCAGACACAGGTGAAATGCCAACCGACCTCAGATGGTAGCCCAGAACCTTTGAGTGAGGGGCAGGGAGCAAGACATGGAAGAGCCCAGAGGAGGAGGCACCCCCTCCCCATCCAGCCTTTAGGCTCCCTCTCAAAACTTTGGGCTTTCCTATTTATGGTCACACTGAAATCATATGTTTTTTTCAAAAGAAAGGTGTTAAAATCACAGAAAGCAATATTTGGCTCATGCAAGAGGCCAAGAATATCTCTAAATGTCTTGTGCAGTTATGGAACCATAATGATGATAAATATAATGAAATCAGAATGGAGAAGGTGATCCCCTCAAGGTGATACACACAACATGTGTATGCCTCTCTCCGCACAGTCCTTCTTCCCACACCGATTCCAACCAAATGTGAAGCCTGAGTTCCTATAAAATAACTGCCTAGAAGGTCCTCTCATCAGGTGTTAAAGGCAGATGGGAGAAGATCATTAAGAAGGGAAGGCATGTTTATAATACCAATAACTACACCTACACAGCAAATAGTGCCCTGGAGTATTTCTGAGAGAGAAAAATGTGTTGCCAGGAGAACCAGTAGATTTTCCAGGAGTGTGTACTAATACCCAGCTCAATAGTCACAAGTTGTATGCTCAACCCAATCCCCGGTGAGGCTTTGAAATAAGGAAAAGCAGGATCTTTTCATTTTCTATTCCTGCAAAGGAGAAAAGAAATCAGTGAGTCATCCCAATGTAAGAGAGAAAGTCTTAGGGGGTCAAAGGAAAACCATTCCTTTGGTATCTTCCATGCATTAGTTTGAGAACATGTTGTGACTTAGAATTAGCACTGATGCCTGCCAAAGCTTTAAGCTAATTTTAAAGACTTTCTCTTTTACTCTGAAACATGTGTATGTATCATTTGCTGCCTTCCTTATGTTATAGCATCTTGGCTTGACCTGTCAACCTTTTTTTTTTTAATATATTTTATTGATTTTTTACAGAGAGGAAGGGAGAGAGGTAGAGCCAGAAACATAGATTAGATAGAAACATCAATCAGCTGCCTCTTGCACACCCCCTACTGGGGATGTGCCCGCAACCAAGGTACAAGCCCTTAACTGTAATCGAACCTGGGACCCTTCAGTCCGCAGGCAGATGCTCTATCCACTGAGCCAAACCGGTTAGGGCTGTCCTGTCAATCTTCAAACATTGCTATACTCAGCCCCAACCCAGCAGAGAGAAAGGTCGAATATTGTTATGTCTTCTTTACAATTGAGAAAGCAAAGGATCAAAGAGCTTAATTTCTGTGCCAAGGGCCACTGGGGTAGAAACAGACTGGATCATGCAGAGCAAGCTTTTCACTCATGGTGGCCTCTCTGGAACACTCTTCCACAAAGTATCTACATGGCTCACACTCTTACTTTACTCAGGTCTCTGCTCAAATAACACATCTTTCCCTGTCTCCTTATTAAAATAATACCTCTAATCACTCCTTCTCCCCTAATACTTCCATCCAGGTATTGTATCATAGAATTCCTTATGTATTATCATATATTGAGCTTACTCAAATAAATAGCAGGTGCTTTGTTCTGGTCAATGTTATATTCCTAATCACCTAAAAAGTGTCAGGCACACAATAAGTGCACAATAAAAATCAACTATATAATTTCTTAAATGAATAATCTACCTGTTAACTCCATGTACACATTTATAGATATTACATACAACATATGCCTAAGCACTTTCCAGATACAATAAATAGACAAACAGGTGATAAGGCCTATACTATTTAAAAGTGCTATATCCCCTAGATCTCCTGATTTGTTGGATTTAGCCGACATTCCTTTCTGTTTTCAAACTCTATTTAAATTTAAACCAAATGATGAGTGTATCTAAATTAAGGCCAAGATTTAGATTCAGTTTCCCTATGAAACCTTCTACCAATTTTTTTCACCTTAACTTTCTCTATTCAGTGTGGTAAATGCCAAAAGAATACAAATATCAAGCATTAAGTTTCAAAAGACCCAAGCTTTCCTGTGCCCAAACTTCTTCTTAGAATAATAAAGGTATCCTGAAATGTATACATTTTTATTGATGATTTATGCTTTAGTACATGATTGATTAAATATAAAAAGTCCTAACTATCTAACAGCTACCTGGGGAAGTAGAAGAGCAATGTATCTCCATTAATGCAAGTTGTCAGTGAATCCATGAATGCAAGTAAGTGCCATAAGCATTATTTTTAAATATATTTTTTATTGATAGAGAGAAAAAAAGATCTATGTGAAAGAGAAACATGGATCAGCTGCCTCCTGCACGCCCCCTATTGGGGATTGAGCACACAACGTGGCCATGTGCCCTGACCAAGAACCAAACCAGCGACATTCAACCAACTAAGCCACAACGGCTTGGGCTGTGCCATAAGAATTTTATCTCTGCTACAATTTCAGAGTTGACACACTGATAGTATCATTGCTTACACAGGGCAATGCCCCATGAAAACAATGGGGATGGCTCACTTTCCAACATCTTTATCCTCCAATCACTATCACTTTGATCCAAGCAAAGAAGAGTGACAGTACTGATAAAAGATATCTTGTCAATATATTTAAAAGTCTCTGAGCAGATACCAATATGATGTGAAAGCCATGCTCTGTGTCATCAGCCCAGCTTATAGGTCAACGTAGGTTTCACTTTCACCAAAAATGCTTTAAGCTCTTTCCATGCTAGCTCTCAAGGTGCTCAGCCTTTAGCTTTAGTTCCCTTCTTTGAGATAAATGAATCACTCACTACCATTCTGCAGGTGAAGAAAACCACTTCCCCATGGGCATAAGGAGGTGGGTGTGGAAATAGAGATTTAAGCATTATCCAGAACATGCCCTCACCTTTACCTCAGTATATGCAGCCCCAAATAAACCAGACAAGAAAACATAAGCAAACACTTCCCTGCCTCAGCTAGGAAGCTTATGCAATTTGTTTTCTTCTTGCAGCATGTCAGCACTTCTCTGAACTTTAAGGAATGTGCAGAGTCTGCAAATCTCACATGTCACCTTAAATGTATTAGCAACACCACCAGAGTTATCTTGAAAGAAGTCATTGATCAGCAAGTTGCAACAACCAAGCAAAGCAAAGACCTTTTTGTGAGCACATGTGTGAAGCTGGGGTGATGGAGGAGGGAGATGGTGGCAATCTCTCTAGTCATAGGGTCTCCCGATGACAAAGACAAGGAAGAAGTGTTTTGACGCCTCACCAGAATGTCTTCTTCAGCATGAAAGCCTTGGAAATAGGAAAAGACAGGTCCCTGTAACCAACGTTCTCTACACTCCTTACCCTACCCTGTTTCCTCCAAAGCACTTACCATCGCTGAAACATGGTATACAGTTATTTATTTATTTATAGTTAGTCAACCCCCAGTAGAATGAGAGTTTCATGAGAGCTTCTCGGTTTTCTCTGGTATCCACAGTACATACAACAATGCCTGGTGTACAACAGCTACCCCAAAAGCACGTTTGAGTGAATGAATAGTCAACTCTTACTTGGGCTCATAATTACTATGCCATAATTTAAAATATAATTTTAATAACTAAAATAACTTGATATGAAGCTGAAATTTGTTTTTTAACCTTTTCAGTGCTCTTTTACATAGAAATATTTCAATTTTTATAAAAGCAAACACATTTATCTTTTCTTTTGTGGCATCCTCTATTATTTTATGCATATGATACCCTTTTTTCATTCATATATAAACATCATTTCTTGATTTGTAGATTTTATGTTTGCATGTTAATCCTCACCTAATTAAGAATTTATGTTGGTGGGAAGTTTTCCATTTTTGTTTTTAGCTTTTGCTTTTTTCCCCCAAATAGGTAACTGTTGACTGTTGTCACACCATTTATTATTAAATAACATTTGCTCTCCCAACTAATACTCTTGGTTATTTAAATAATTGTATCATAATGTTGGGTGATGTTTAAATTGCCAATTAAAATCCAAAACCTGTTATATCTAAACTAATATAAAGACCTCTCTCTCTCTCTCTCTCTCTCTCTCTCTCTCTCTCTCTCTCTTACATGTGATTTCAGCTTTGTTCTTGATGTGTTCGTATTATTGAGAAAAAGACAAATATCCAGATAATTAGTATAAAGTGTGATTAATTCAACAATTAAAGGCAAAACCAAGACGCTATGAGAGTTCAGAAGTTTGGATGGCTGACCATGGTGGAGACTGCCTTACAGGTGAAATCCAGTGTATGGATCACCTGGTCTTTTTTTAATCTGGACACTACAGATAAATTAGCACAGGCTGAGATTATTTCACTTTATTAAAAAACAAACAAAAAATATGCTCATTGTAGAAAAGTCAAACATCTACAAATCCAAGATTACAAATAGAGCCCCTGACCTATAATCTAATAACTCCTTAGGGAACAAAAAGGAAATTCGATTACTTTGGCATAATTT